GGCATAGGGTGAAAGAACTCTGCCCATTGTTTCTCGCCGGCGCCTGGGATCGAACCCAGGACCACAGGATCACAAGTCCAGCGTGCTGTCCGCTCGGCCGACCGGCTCCCGACGGAATCCACCGCATGGATTCGAACCCACATCACTGCTCCTACGGAGTTTCTCACTGATACAGTCACGATAGCGTGATTACTCTCTGATAATATTACTACTAATAATGTTAACACTGTTATCACTACTAGAGGTATTGGAAGCATCACTAGTGAGCACTGTTGAAACTATAATAGTTTTGTGAGAAAACTAGCAGCAGTTAGAGTTAATAAAGTGGTATGAGTAGGGGAGCCGGTCGGCCGAGCGGACAGCACGCTGGGCTTGTAATCCTGTGGTCCTGGCTTCGATCCCAGGCGCCGGCGAGAAACAATGGGCAAAGTTCTTTCACCCTATGCCCCTGTTACCTAGCAGTAAAATAGGTACCTGGGTGTTAGTCAGCTGTCACGGGCTGCTTCCTGGGGGTGGAGGCTTGGTCGAGGACCGGGCCGCGGGGACACTAAAAGCCCCGAAATCATCTCAAGATAACCTCTCAAGATAGCATCATTAGTACCACAGTTATTAATGGTACTAGTGATAGCAGCAAGTATCAGTAAGAGTCGTTACAGTAAATATTAATATCAATTGCATTAATAAAATAATATTCTTTTCAGCCGGATAGAAATTATTACTTTAGCACCAGGGGTTATATCCTGAGGTTATCTTGAGATGATTTCGGGGCTTTAGTATCCCCGCGGCCCGGTCCTCGACCAGGCCTCCACCCCCAGGAAGCAGCCCGTGACAGCTGACTAACACCCAGGTACCTATTTTACTGCTAGGTAACAGGGGCATAGGGTGAAAGAAACTCTGCCCATTGTTTCTCGCCGGCGCCTGGGATCGAACCCAGGACCGCAGGATCACAAGTCCAGCGTGCTGTCCACTCGGCCGACCGGCTCCCCCAAACTACGGCTACGAGCAATAGTCTTGCTGCTAATGGGAAAATCAAGAGCATTAGTTTTAGTATCAGTAGTGGTAAAGAGATTATCAGTATCAGTAGTGTACTATCAGCCGAAGTAGCAGCATTTGTTGCGTGAGCTACAGGTACAGAAACATAAGTAGCAGCAGCTGTTACCTGGTTGATTACCTGGTTGATGGGGTTCTGGGAGTTGTTCTACTCCCCAAGCCCGGCCCAAGGCCAGACTTGACTTGTGAGAGTTTGGTCCACCAGGCTGTTGCTTGGAGCGGCCCGCAGGCCCACATATACCTGGTTGATGGGGTTCTGGGAGTTCTTCTACTGCCCAAGCCCGGCCCGAGGCCAGGCTTGACTTGTGAGAGTTTGGTCCACCAGGCTGTTGTTTGGAGCGGCCCGCAGGCCCACATATACCTGGTTGATGGGGTTCTGGGAGTTCTTCTACTGCCCAAGCCCGGCCCGAGGCCAGGCTTGACTTGTGAGAGTTTGGTCCACCAGGCTGTTGCTTGGAGCGGCCCGCAGGCCCACATATACCTGGTTGATGGGGTTCTGGGAGTTCTTCTACTCCCCAAGCCCGGCCCGAGGCCAGGCTTGACCTGTGAGAGTTTGGTCCACTAGGCTGTTGCTTGGAGCGGTCCGCAGGCCCACATACCCACCACAGCCCGGTTGGTCCGGCACTCCTTGAAGAAAACAATCTAGTTTCCTCTTGAAGATGTCCACGGTTGTTCCTGCAATATTTCTCATGCTCGCTGGTAGGACGTTGAACAACCGTTGCAGGAGCAACAGATACAGAAACAGAAGTAGCAGTAACCGTTGAATGAGCAACAGAAACAGAAGTAGCAGTAGCCGTCAGCCTTAATATCGACAAAGCTATATGTCATATCCCTGTTTGAAATTATATCATATTTCAACCTGCAAATATCAGGTCCGCTGCAGATGGCATTCCTGCAACCATAGTCTCTGTTCTTATCTCAGACTATCCAAAGATGACCTCTGACCCCAATAAAATTAGATTTTCAGACTTCCAGCTCAGCCTTTGTCCCTGTCTGGGGCCGCTGATATGTATAAATTAATGCAATTTGGCCCTAATACTACATTATATCGCACAACATACGAGTCCTGATGAATGTATTTGGAAGTTCTATACATCTTGAACTGGGTTCATCCAAATGTATTTGAACACCACAACAAAGAAGCAACAGCCATTGAACTGGGGAACGATAACACACTCCAAGAATAAGAGCAGGGCTTCCGGAGGTCGTCCTTGAAGGGATGGGATTATGGAGCAGAGCTACAACTGGAGGATGAGTTACTGGGTAGAGCTACAACTGGTGGAGGAGTTACTGGGTAGAGCTACAACTGGAGGAGGAGTTACTGGGTAGAGCTACAACCGGAGGAAGAGTTACTGGAGCAGAGCTACAACTGGAGGAGAAGTTACTGGGTAGAGCTACAACTGGAGGAGGAGTTACTGGGTAGAGCTACAACTGGAGGAGGAGTTACTGGGTAGAGCTACAACTGGAGTAAGAGTTACTGGAGCAGACCTACAACTGGAGGAGGAGTTACTGGGTAGAGCTACAACTGGAGGACGAGTTACTGGAGCAGACCTACAACTGGAGGACGAGTTACTGGGCAGAGCTACAACTGGTGGAGGAGTTACTGGGTAGAGCTACAACTGGAGGAGGAGTTACTGGGTAGAGCTACAACTGGAGGAGGAGTTACTGGGTAGAGCTACAACTGGAGGAACAGTTACTGGGCAGAGCTACAACTGGAGGAGGAGTTACTGGGTAGAGCTACAACCGGAGGAAGAGTTACTGGAGCAGAGCTACAACTGGAGGAAGAGTTACTGGGCAGAGCTACAACTGGAGGAAGAGTTACTGGGTAGAGCTACAACTGGAGGAAGAGTTACTGGGTAGAGCTACAACCGGAGGAAGAGTTACTGGAGCAGAGCTACAACTGGAGGAAGAGTTACTGGAGCAGACCTACAACTGGAGGAAGAGTTACTGGAGCAGAGCTACAACTGGAGGAAGAGTTACTGGAGCAGAGCTACAACTGGAGGAAGAGTTACTGGAGCAGACCTAAAACTGGAGAAGGAGTTACTGGAGCAGACCTACAACTGGAGGAAGAGTTACTGGAGCAGACCTACAGCTGGAGGAGGAGTTACTGGAGCAGAGCTACAACTGGAGGAGGAGTAACTGGAGCAGAGCTACAACTGGAGGAGGAGTTACTGGAGCAGATCTACAACTGGAGGAGGAGTTACTGGAGCAGACCTACAAGTGGAGGAAGAGTTACTGGAGCAGACCTACAACTGGTGGAAGAGTTACTGGAGCAGAGCTACAACTGAAGGAAGAGTCACTGGAGCAGATCTACAACTGGAGAAAGAGTTACTGGAGCAGACCTACAACTGGTGGAAGAGTTACTGGAGCAGAGCTACAACTGAAGGAAGAGTCACTGGAGCAGACCTACAACTGGAGGAAGAGTTACTGGAGCAGACCTACAACTGGAAGAACAGTTACTGGAGCAGACCTACAACTGGAGGAAGAGTTACTGGAGCAGACCTACCACTGGAGGGACAGTCACCAGACCTACAACTGGAGAAACAGTGACTAGACCTACCACTGGAGAAACAGTCACTAGACCTACCACTGGAGAAACAGTCACTAGACCTACCACTGGAGAAACAGTCACTAGACCTACCACTGGAGAAACAGTGACTAGACCTACCACTGGAGAAACAGTCACTAGACCTACCACTGGAGAAACAGTCACTAGACCTACCACTGGAGAAACAGTCACTAGACCTACCACTGGAGAAACAGTCACTAGACCTACCACTGGAGAAACAGTCACTAGACCTACCACTGGAGAAACAGTCACTAGACCTACCACTGGAGAAACAGTCACTAAACAGCTAGATCACCATATTAACCAAACCACACGCTAGAAAGTGAAGGGACGACGACGTTTTCG